AAATAGTTTATAAAAGTTCATTAATAATTAAATTAATAAAATTTATTTTAACCAATTATTATTATTTTATTTTTATTTTTTATATTTTATATATTAATGATATTTAATGATCGTATGATAAGAGATAACACATTTCGAATAAATGCTGGTCTTTATCAAACCGTTTAACAATAGTCATTCTGTTTCTTTTCGTTACTTTAAAAGGACATAAACTCTGTAAGGACGGATATTTGCACATATTTCATAAACATATATCATAAACATACTATATAACAACAACACGACAATTATTATCACAAAATATATTTGCATTATAATATTACGACCGTGTGCAAAATCGAGTAAATTGAGGTAAAGTAAATTTAAATTTCTTAGGGATTTTTTGCACTGCACTTATGTAAATATTTATTTCACTTATTTATTATTTTTCCATAAAAGTTTTCAAATTTATTTATTTATTTATTAAACATCTAATAAAATGTTCACAATGGTAACACCTAATTTACATAATTTTCATCAAATTCACCCTACTCGAAATTCTGGTAAATACTGTAAAAGCCGTCTTTTAGTTCAGTTAAACATTTATTTATTTTAGACTTATCGATATTATTAAGTCTCTATTTTGACGATAGCTCTAAGACTACTTTAAGACTCACTTTAAGACTAACTTTTTTAGACTAACTTTTTAAGACTAATTTTTTAAGACTGACTCTTCTTTTTACTATTTCGAACCAAGACGGTTCGGTTTCACATTTGCTACCATTCCAACATAATTTACTATTTCCCTCAACTTACCATTAATTTGCAATCTAAAATTAAACAATTAAATTTAAATTGAAAATTAAAAATTAATTAGTTTTTATTTAATATACATACATATGTGTATTTTATAAAAAACTCACCGAAGATCACACCGTCACCACATCGGCAACATTTTCAATTCCTCTGAAATTACAATTTTTAATTACAATAAATAAAGAAATATATTTAAATAAATGAATACCTCATTTATTCACTATTTATATATTTATTTTATTTATAGTAACATAATTATTTTATTATATTAAAAAAATATATATATATTAAAGCTACCTCTACCGGCATTAAATTAAAACATTTTTGTACACAAGCAAACGACTCAAGAAACGTCAAACCAAGAAAACTTTTGTGCAAAAATCCGTAAAGTGCTGAATTTCATAACACAAAAATAATCAATGCAAACGTTGGCAAAAGTTTTATTGCGCTATACTTTGGAGCGGATGATTCAATATAAATATACGCGCATTTTATAAGCAAGGGCACTTTCTTTCCTTCATCCTCAACTCTACTAGGCCTTTCGAATAAACGAGTACCTATTATCTCTTGCTACTCTCGCTCTACCTATGAAGAAAGTATCGTTCCACACCGACAGGAGAATAAAAAAAGATCACTGGGGACCACATTATAGAATTACGATAATCAAGAAACGTTTCAACAAAATCGCAGATTTCCAAAAGCAAATACCGGTTCGCTACAACATCAAAGCCAACACAGATCATCCTTTATCTTAATTTGTATATTTTATTAGTTAGAAGTTTTTAAATTTATTTTTTCAATAAAGTAATTTAAGTTGTATAGTAAAATAGAAATTCCTTGTTTTTGGCTTCTGAAAAAAAACAAAAATTGCAATGAACTTTGGATAACGACTGAGCTTACCCTAGCAAAACTAACGAATTAAACGTGTCGTTATAGCATTACGGCTCTACAGCTCAAAATGTGTTAATTATTTTTAACACAAATAACATCATTTAGTATTTAAGTTAAACATATAAAGTTATTATAAACACATTTTGAATAATGAATTGTGAACATTTATGTAGACAGTTTGCGAATTCAAGTTCGAGACCGTGTGCGATTTCGATTTACTTTAACTAAATTTACTCAAACTCACACACGGTCTTAATGGGTCTACTCTATGCTAGAATCCATATATTAGCCATATGGATTAAAAATATGGAACTCTACGTTGGAATCGATGTATTATTCATATAGATTAAAAATATGGAACTGTGTGTATATAATATTACTTACCTCTGCCAAACGTTAATTTAGTTCAGAATTATTTATAACCACGGTTGCCACTTGAAAATTTTTTTCTGTACCAAAATTGGTTTAAAAAGGTACCATTTCTGTAAAAAAAGGTCCAAAATTTTTCTATTGTCTTTTTATAAGAAAATACAATTTATATAAAATGTACAAAAAGTATAAAACAATACAATATCCACAATAAAGTTAGGTCGCCGAAAAAGGTTCCATTTTTTGAACATGAGTACCAGAGTACCAAACGGAAAAAAAAGTACCAATTTTGGTACTAAAGTACCATAAGTGGCAACCGTGTTTATAACTGTAAAACAAACTAGGAGTTAATAGAAAGAAACGTTTTATTACTGATTAATGTATTAATAGTGTAACATAAAATTTACACTAACTAAATTTTACTACACAAATAATACCAAACAACACAAATATAATAAAAACAAAATAAACAACAAGAAAACAAACAACAATAGAAAGAAACTTGTAAACAACGAACCGTTGAAATCACAAGAACAAAGATACTGCTTGCTTCGCACATCACAAGTATAAAAGGCGAAGCAAACGCAGTAGACTGGGATTCAGCAAGACAGCGAGCTAAGAACAGGTCGCTCTATATTACATGTGCTGAAACACCAAGAATCGAAATTTACATCTCGATTTCTATTTTGTTTTATTTTTTTTTATTTTTAATAGAAATGCACATTTCTATTAAAAATCATAATTAATAACGAAATTAACATTTCGTTAATAGTAATAGAAATATAAATTTCTATTACTCTATTGTTCATAACGAAATCAAATTTTCGTTAGTAAATTACTCGGTAAGGTGATAATAACTCATGAACATTATCACCCATACCAAATCCATTGTATGAAGAAGAAATTCACATTTCTTCAAACATTTTGTCAGGGGCGTCGAAATTAACATTTCTACGCCAAAATCCATTGTATATAGAAGAAATTCACATTTCTTCAAACCTTTTGTCAGGGGCGCGGAAATTAACATTTCTACGCCAAATCCATTGTATAAAGAAGAAATTCACATTTCTTCAAACCTTTTGTCAGGGGCGTCGAAATTAACATTTCTACGTCAAATCCATTATATAGAGAAGAAATTCACATTTCTTCAAACCATATCACCGTACCAACGTCACCATCCACCGTATTCCACTGTTCCTATCAAATAAATTTATTGTAGGACTGAACCTTGAATCCGGCGAGTAAAACCCCGGCCAGGAAGGTTCGTTACAATAGGGACGCAATATATTTATATACGAAACTTTATGAATTAAAAAGACAGAAATATCAGCACCAATACCATATTAAAGTCTCATCTTTGTGAAATAGATATGAAACATGATAAAAATATATCCAAAATATATCCAAAATTCTCCAAAATGCTGATCTGATCAACTTTTAATATTGTTAATGCTGACAATAGCTAACGATTCTTCGCTAAATTCAAATGCATAAGTGTAAGACGCATTCAATATTCAATTTCTTTATACACAAAATAAAGGGAAAGCACAGCAAAATTTCTCAGCTCATTCATTCAGAATATTTGATGCAATATAGTCGCATATTCTAAAAAATTGAAAAGTCTTATACAAAAATTAGAAATGTCGAGTGGTAACAAAATATATTGAAATCTAGATAAAAGTTGTGAAATAATATTATCAAATATTTTTATAGAATTCTTCGGACGGTTTTTATATGATTTATTTGAAAAAAATATACTTTGTGAACAGAACAGCTACAAAATGCAGATGGACACGATGCAATCACATTTTTTAAGATTCATATCTCAAAATAATTTGGAGGAACCTTTAAAAACAATACTTTTAGGGGCTTGCAAAACAGCAACCACTGTAAGTAATTATTAATATTATTATTAAACTTTTCTATTACAAAAAAAAAAAATACACACATACATATATTTTTACTAATGTTTAGTACACACAAAAGAAAAACTCAAAAAAAAACTTTATTGTGAAATCTGATCAGTTTCAGATTTTATATTAATAGGCTTTTACATATACTTTATTCCATACTTTATTCCAATTTAGTTTTTCATTTAAAAAATTAGATTGTTAAGTATAAATAATTAAATTTATTAAATAATTTTAATAATAATTTAGATTCACTACAAATTATTTGTCTATTTTCTATTATTATTTGTCTATTTGTTATTTTTCATCTATATTTAATATCAACTTTCTATCGTATGTGGTTATCAAGTTATGTTGCTTAACTTAATTATTTTTTTACAGTTTTCTTCATATCTCTCACAAAATCGTGAGTATCTCCAACAATCTACAAAAAATATAACTGAATTTTGCTTAAACGAAGTCTATATTGACCAGTATTTGCGCAAAAAAAATTTAAAAACTGGTAAGTAAAACTATAGTTTTTGAATTTAACAATAATATACTTATTAAAAATAAATATCTAAAATTAATCATATAAATTTATTTTAGAAAAGTATGATAAAAAGAATTTGCGCACGCTAACTTATGTGGATAAAGGAACAATTTTCAAAGAACAGATAAATGAAATTAAATATGGGCTAGAATTTGAATCTAAATCATATATATACAAACACAAGTAAGAATAATTGATTATTAATATTTTATGATGGTATAATATAATTTGTCTAATTAAACTAAAAGCATTTTAACATAGAAATCAATAATAATAGTCATATCTTTTTATTTAGATATTTGTATTCCATTTTAGTTACATATATATTATAAGCTGGTCTATATTGTTAGATATACATTAACTGCTATATTTAATTTTAAGTTAATTAAATTTTTGTAATTTTCTAAAAATAAAGGTTTATGAGATTGTCTATGATTATTTATAACATATAATTTTAAATAGTGATCCCTATTTTTTATTCTTTTTCTTTGAAAGAATAATTCAGTATGTAATAATAGAAATAGAATGTATTTTAAATATATTTGTGAATTATGGATTTATGGAGTTGGTAATAACTAGTACCTTTACTCCTTCTTGGTATACATAACTTAATCGATACTCGGAAGATTTGGAAATCTGCATAACTTTTATTGTGAAATATTTTTTTTGTTTAAAGTATGGCAAAATGGTTATCAGTAAGTCTTTCTCCCGTCCCTCGAATTCTTCTAAGCGGATCTAAAAAAATTTTATTTTGCTGAATGATGATTTCCGTATAGATTAGCATTCTATGTTTACGGTTCAACTTTTTGCTTTTGCAAAAAAGGATTTATTTTTGAATATAATTAACCTACCTCTCTTAATTAGAAGTTAATTAAGTAAGGTAAGCTAATTCGCTTTCTTTTCTATATTAGGTCTCTTCCCCCAGCTACTCATACTAAAACTCGAGTAAAACACAAGTAAAGTACAAACTGAGAACGTAACACAAATAAACAGCTAAATTACGGTCTTTATACAGATTTTCATAGAACAACTTTGTGTAAAGCATTTTAAAATTTCAACAGGAATGTTACGCTCTCTCAGATACTCTCATTTACTCGAAATTTTGCTGGTGGAACGCACTTGTGTATACACAGTGTTACTCAAAATTACTATTAGTAACTCGTGGAACAGACCTATTGTTTTCTCAATATATTAATTCTATGCATTTTAGTATATTTTTCTCTTTTTTATATATTGTAATTCTTTTGGAACCAATTTCACAACATAATCCGTTCCATCCTCAGGATTTTTTAAGTAAATATTAATAAATAAAGATAGGTTAGATTAGATGAAAAAAAATATCTAAAATTATCTTATTTAAAATGTAATTTCGAAAATATTAATATTATTATGTTTATATTAATTAATCTTCTCTTTGCAGGCATATAGTCAATTCTGTCCCCTATATTCAAGATATATATCTTGGATATAAGTTTTGTGAACATTCAAAAAAGGTTTGTTTTGTTTTGAAAACGATTCGTGAGAATTTTAAAATAAAAAATATTTTTGTCCAACGTGATGATATTGGGGAATTAAAAAAAATAGATACTTCTATTATGGATTTGGTGTTTTACGTTGACAAAAAATGTTTATTCAGTAATGTAGATATTAAAATATTTTTAGTGCATAATAACATATCGGATGACTCGACAATCTTTAATTGCGATTCATTTAAAGTAAGTTTTTTATTTTTGACGTATTTTTTTAAAAAAATTTTAAATTATTTCTTTTAAACAGTTCAAACGCTTCAATTTAAAAGCACCGTAAGTGAAGTAAAAAAATTGTTGTATATAATATGATGAAAATATATAATTTAGCCTAACTATAAATCTGTACGATGCACTTTTCGTTTCAGGGATCAAAAATTCGTATATGAAATGGCACCTTACATTTCAGAAGATTTTAAAATTTTATACTCTAAAAAAGAAGAACAACAAATCAAATATTTGTGCCAGATTTCTCCAAAGTTCGAGTCATATATATCTAATGGCAAACAATTAACCCGAGAAAATATGTGTGAAGTTTTAAAATATTTATTAACGTTAGAAGATTTGGAGATTTTAAAACCATATAACAATTTAATTCAACACAACATATGTATTAATGAATTCACAAAACCTGGAAAAATATGTGGATGATGATGGGGATGATGATGGGGATGATGTTTTTGAGTGGAAGTATACTTTGGAGGTAAATATTCCTTTGCAGATATTTTAATAAATATTAATATAAGATATAAAACTGAGTATTTTTTTTCAGTTAAGATCCCGATTAGTCTGAAATGCATTTTGTATTAGTTCTGTGATGATTTATTATAATCGCAATATTTCATGAACCTTTAACACTTTACAATGTTTGAAATCAGTTGATTAAAACGCAATTTTCACCTATTCCTTATTTTCGCTATAATAATATCATGTAAAATATGTGGTTCCTGTCTTTGGATCCAAAATAATTTTCTAAAAAATTTTTATATTCATATATCTATTAATATATATTTATTATTATACTGACGCTAGTTGAGTCAGTGCACCTGAGCACTTTTACTTTCTATTAACTGCGAGGTTTCTTCAAAACTCCTGTTTGCGCCTTGACTGGATTATTATTTATCACTTCATCAGATTAATCAATAATTGACCTCAGATCGCATACCTCCCCGAGGAGCCTGTAACCATTCTGAGATTTGATAACACGGTGTTAGCAAGTCTGTCAGATTTCGCAAATAATTTCAGGGCTCTATCCTTTATGTATTTATATATTTATTTATTTATTTATATATATTTATTGTAGGTATCATCTTCGATTCCTTCAGTTTCGTGAGAAGAATTGCATCATAGACATCAAAAATGTTCACTTCATGAATAAGTCTTATTAAACTATTTTCAACATTACTTGTTATGTATCTATGGGCGTTGTCAGAATTATTCATCATGATTAATACATTTCTGTGTATTGATGTACTTTTGCGATAAAACGTTACAAATCTAGTGCATGATAAGTGCGTGAACTCCAGGATGTTAATCTCATCCTAGAGTTCTTCCAGAAATGGAAAATAAAAATTAACAACGGGAAAACTAAGGCCCTGTTTGTAGCTTGTAAACATAGGCAGCATTCACCGAGAGCGAGAGTTGGTGAAATTGCGATTAATTAGGAGGACAGCTTCAAATACCTGGGAACCACGTTTGATAAGCGGTTCACTTGGCACAAGCACATACAAGTCAAAAGAAGAAGTTTTGCGAAAGTACTGCCGTGCTTAGCGCTAAGAACAGAAAGTTGATCTGCAGCCAGATAATCAGATCGGCACTTCTCTTCGGATGTGTCGTGTATAGCAAAGCTTTCAACTCTACTTTCCAGAAGCTATAAGTTGCTCAAAGTCAGGCTCTCCGAAGACTCTTCAAAGTGACATGATACATCCGCAGGAATGACAAAAAACACATAAGGGACAAGGCCCTAAAGCTATACGCGTATATTGACCAAACAAAATGCTTCTAAAAAGTGAAAAAATTTTCTCGACAATGTTTTATTCAATTATCAAATATTATCTTAAAATTATTAGACAAAATAACACTAATAAATATAAAAATAACACTGTTCCGTATGAATATTATATTGATTAAATCCAACTTTTTTTTTATTAAAAAAGCTATCAAAACAAAGAAGAATAAATCAAACACAAACTGCACCTTGCGTAGATGATGATGTATACATTTGTAGCAATGACAAACCTTGTGATTTTTGGTCAGCTATGGAAGAATCAAAATTTTATGGCATAGTATTAACTGTCTCGAAAGAAAAAGTAACATTTACAATAAAATCAAAACGCGATATCTGTGGAATTTGTTTCGATAGTCCTATGTATACCATAGTATTTAGTCCATCCCGTTTCACAATTCGTCTACAGTATCGTGCATTGGAGTTACTGAGTAAAGAACGAATTGAAATCATCGATCGTATTTTTTTTCCTGCAGGTGTTGATCCGATATATGCTATACCACAAGAGAGGTATATTTCTAATTTTTTTTAAAAATTTTATTAGAATAATCATGAGTTGTATATACATATGCAGATTGGTACTTTTTAATGAAAGCATTTACGAAAATCCTGAACAATTACAAGCAGTGCGCACCATAGCAGCGGGGCCCAAATGTAAAGTACCATATATAATATTTGGACCACCAGGTGAGTAATTAAAAAAAAAAGAAATTTAAAATAAAATTTTGAACGTATTTTTAAGGAACGGGAAAGACAACTTTAATTGTGGAATGTATTCTACAACTCTATTTACATCGACCAAATACTAAAATTTTGGTTACTGCTGCATCAAATACCGCTTGTGATGAAATAGCGGTACGTTTATGTAAAGCACTGTTCCACTATAATGACGAATTTTCTATTGTTCGCTTATATGCAAGATCATTTAAGAAAGAAACAAGCTTTCTTCTTAAAGAACATTCTAATTAACATTCAAAGTACTTCTCTCCAAACAAAAATGATATCAAGAAATATCGCATTGTAATAAGTACATTATCTGTCATAGGAAAAATTGATATTCAAGAATCCCAATCACCATTATTAGAAGAATATGAAACCAGTGCTTCCATAACTCATTTTACACATATTTTTATTGACGAATCGGCTGCTACAACAGAAACAGAAACTTTGCTTGCTATTATTGGCTTGTTACCAACAAATGCAAGTTTGATACTTTCCGGTGATCATAAACAATTGGGCGCAGTATTACAGTCAAAAGCCGCAGAACATTTGGGATTTTCTATTTCATTAATGGAACGTATACTTAAATCAGCATGCTATCGAGTAAATCACAACGGAGATTATAATCGCTCCTTTCAAACACGTTTACGACGCAACTATCGTTCTCATCCCGAAATAGTAAACTTATTTAATCACCTTTTTTATAACAATCAATTACTTCCACTAGCCAAAGAGAGTAAGTACTCATATTTTCATATACATTTTTAATTACTTCAATTTGATATTGTATATATGTTAAATAGATGTTGAACTCATATGTAAAAAATGGTCTAGATTACCAAACACCAAATATCCTATTTTGTTTCATTCGGTTGATGGAATTGCTGAAACTGAAAACAATTCTACAAGGTAAAAATATATATATATATATGTATTATATATTAAACTTCTTCTACTAATTTTTTTAAACTGCAATATATTCGTTTGGTGAAATACCTAAGTGGTTTTAGAACAAAACATGCAAACTGTATATGTACACATTGCTATAAAAGAATTAATTTAATTAGTATGATTAAAATGCTATAAATTATCAGGCTACTACCATCCATATAGTCAAAATGTACTACCACTTAACTGTATTTACTTTTCTCGAACTGATTATTGATCAAATAATGAAGATAGTATGCTCAGAAGATATCGGGTGTATTTTAACTGCATTAGAACTATCGAAATCGATAACTATGGCTTGACAGCTAAAATTGTCAAACTGTGTTAACATTTCTGTGCAGTACGGTTTGGCAATTCATCATGAATCGTTTGGCGCTAGGGCAATGCTTCCAAATTGTGGAAACTTACTTTCAAAAAAATAAATCTGTTCGTGAACTTCATAGTTCACTTTGTCTATTTTAGGGTCAACATAATCGGCCTAGTGAGCAAGCAATAATTTTACTCTTTTCGATTTAAAACCACCAACAAGTCATAGAAATGTGCTGTTTGTTACAGTTTACACGCTGGCGACATCATCAGTTATTTCTTTCGAAATGACGAACGAGGTGCCGCTACGGTGAATGGTGAGCGCTATAGAGCCATGCTGACTGACTTTTTGTTTTCAATAATTACTCAATTAAACATCGACAACATTTGGCATTTGGTTTCTTGGTCAACAATAGGTTTAACCTCCAAAGAATGGTCACTGTAGTTGAATCAATTCACGCAGTTGCTCTGTAATAAATGATTGTTGTCAAACAAAATAAAATTTCTTGATATGAGTTCCCACTGCAGCGAAATCAATTTATATGAATCAAATTAGAACTTGATCGTTTCCATTGACATTAGTTGATTTATGTAAGTGAAAGAGTTTTCACGTGTCAGAAAGTCCTGTGAAAGTTCTAAGTTTGTTTTCTGTTTGTTTACATTTCAATTGTTAGCAGATAACATTTAATTTCGTATTTTCAGCAAAAACTTATTAAATGATCAATGAAAACGAGGAAAATGCAAAACTTGTTTTTTTTGACTTGATTTGTTTAACTTGTTTTTTTTTGTGTTTATATACATTTTGTTCCAAGTACCAAATATGTCAAATTGTTAGTGTAATTTTCCTTAATTTATTTTTAACTAAGTTGAAAAGCACGAAAGGTCTTTGTACGGTTAATCAACTGATTACCGACTCAAATCAAATAAAATGCTTTAATGAAGACAATGGGAATATACTATTACTATTATGCAATTATTCGTCCTCCATTTTTCTACTCCAGTAATAATTCTTTCAGTACATATGTATATAATAACAAAGATGAATTAATTTTAAGAAAACCGGAAAAGAAACCTTAAACGATTTTTCTGTAGATTGGAGAGTTTTAAAAATTATTTGCCAGAGTACTGAAAGTTACTAAGTTAGATTAATAATAAACTCAAAACATATAAATATATTACTTATTTGTTATTTTATTTATAGCATTTATAATTGGCGCGAAATAGATGTCGTTATACATTATGTGAAGGATTTACTCAAAATCAATTTCAAAGATTTCAAAATTACAGAAGACGACATTGGTATAATTTCACCATATAAATTGCAATATATAAAAATCAAAAACGCTTTGGCAGATCATGATTTATCCAAGATTACTATTGGCTCGCCAGAAACCTTTCAAGGGTCGGAGAAGCCAATTATAATCGTGTCATTCGTCAGATCAAAAACCCGTGCTTTAGGGTTCTTAACTAATGAAAAGGTAACTTTGGGCAATCAAATTTTTAGAATATATATTTATTAATTTATTTTATTTAGCGTTTAAATGTCACAATATCGCGACCTAAATCAATGTTGATACTGATTGGAAATGCAGAAACACTAAAAATAAATTCCAATTTTAAGTTCATCATAGATTCATGCATTGCACATAAATCTTTTATAAAATCGGCGTTCGCTGAGAAACCAGATACATTAGATGAGTTGCTTAAAAAATTAAAAATTTAAAAAAAATTTCAAGAAATTATCTTTTATCTTAATATGTTCTTTTAAAAATATATCAATATCAATATTATATCTAAAATGAATTAATTTTAAAATTGAAATCATATGAATAGTAATTATAGATTCATAATCCATTTGTTTTTTTCATATAATAATTTTAATAAAGATTATTCGTTAAAATATAATATGTCTTAAGTTTAATTTAATTTCTTCACTTTAAATACTATTTTATATTTGGCACTAATAATTCTTTAACAAAATGTGGGCAATTATAGATAATAATTTTCTTATTCACATATATTATAATATAACATATATTATCTTATGTACATATATTATAATATCAGAAATATAATATCTTTTGGGGTTTCTATACAATAAATATCAATATAAATGCTCAGTGTTCTGAAAGCATGTCTGTCACAATCCCTATCCCTGAGAAGCATATGTCTGAAGTGTTTAAATCTCTCAACACGACTTACCTTAAAGAATGTAAAATCTCGCCAAGATTAAAAAACTTTACTGGTTCCAAAAAATGAATAAGCTTCTATTATATATGCCATCGTGAATCGATCATTTTGTAGAATATTTAGAAAGGAAGAAATATTTTAGATTAACATTGGTGAGACTTCGCGGAACAGTGCTTTTTTATTGAAAAGTTTGCCTGCTTGTTTAAAAGACGAATCTTGTCGCTTATTCCCTCTTTGGTATTATTACGAATTAATTATTTTTTGGAACTTTGACAAAAAAATTTTTTCTGACTTTTTATGACAATGCAAAGCTTTTTTTATTGTCTTTCAAGGTTTTTCTATGCATTTGCTTTATATTATATTTTCTTCTTTAAATAACTTTTTTTTTAGAGAAGAAATTTGCTTTTGCACTCAATTTGTTATTTTTAATTAATTTATTCGCAACAAATGCATACAAATACAAACATTATATTTGCTATTCAACCACAGAATGCGCTTTTCCTCTTGCTTTAAGTTTATTCATCGCTGGGCGCTGTGAATGAACGTTTTTTTTTTTTTGAAATAATTGGATTTTCCGTAAAATAGAAAAAATTAAAAAAAAAACCAAGTAAAAAATTGTAAAATCGACTTTTTTGATTTTCATGTTTTTAGAAAATAAATTTCCATGTCTTTATAGGAAAAAAATATGTCATTGTTATCTATCTGTTTTATAATGCAATATATCTTTTACACTTAAGGAAATATAGTTTACAGTTAAGTAAGCTTAAAAACAATTATTATTTTTTGCCAGTTTTTTATGATAAAAATAATATATTCTGTTGACGTTTTAAAATTATATTTTATGATATATTTCTTAACATTTTTTATTTTTATTTTTTCAAATATGTGTCATCAAACACTAATTCTGCTTTAAAATTATTTTCGTTAATTTTAATATTATAATTATGTTACATTATTATATTTATTTTACATTATTATTACCACGAACACGGTTGGGATTTTTTTAACCCCACTAACTCAAAATCATATCAACGTTGTAAAAACAATATTTAGTGGGAACTAGGAATTAGGAATTGATGTACAGGGTGACATATGTTATATTTAAGAAATTATGATATTAATTTTTAACGATTTTGCACAAATTAGTAGAAAACTAATTTTATTGCTCTTCAGTGCTTATGCGTGTAAAGCGGTTCAACTCTTAGTTTTTAATAATTTTTAAGTGAAGAATTCAGTTTTTTTTTTAAAAAAATTTTATATTTTATTCTTTGAATTACTTATTTATTGCGTAGTCGTTTGTTTCTAAACAGTCACATTCTCTGTGGCTGCTCAGCTTTGATCTGGGCCAGGAGGAGGTCACTGGGTCGACAACTACTTTCTCCTTCTGACATTAGGAGGTCCTCAACGGCCGACATTCTGGCTTTCATTCAGAAGACGGAATGTCTTCTGTTTGGTTAGGGTCTGTTGCAGCACAAAAGATCAATCATGGTCACAGTGCTCCGCTAGTATCCCATTTATTGCTAAAAGACATATATCAATTATATTTTTGTTTTGATAAAAAAACTTAAATTTCGTCAATTTTGGCGCAGATAAATTTTCTTAATTATATAATTACCTGGATATGAAAGTACCACTTTCAATATATCTCAATTTGTGTCATTTTGTTGCCTATTTCAACCTATTTAGTTCTTTTCTAGGACTACTCGTATAATTGAGTAATGTCTGTAAGTCAAAAGACCTTCTTTTTCAACTATTAATTTCATTATATGTAATTTAAAAATGAAGAAACATTTTTAAAAGTGGCAATTTCATTTAAAACTGTTTTTCCTTGTGTCTTTCGTGCTTCAGTTTACACTGATTCGCTTTGATTAATTAATTTTGACTATACAGTTTATTACGAGAGGACAGACTCTTTAGCTTCCAATCACTGCAAGGATTTAAATAAATGAATACATAATTATGATAATTAGATTTTTATTTTTAAATATGAGTTTATACTCGTATATACTAAATTGTATACAAACTATTACATTAAGATTAACCTAAAAGCCAAGCCATTACTAGTGATACTTTTTAGTTGTATTTTCGTATAAATTTCATAGTAATTACTAATTGTTTTAGAAACGTAACAAAATTTGATAAATAAATTGTTGTAAGTCAAATTTTTCGATTTAACATTTACTAAGGCGCATTTAAGAACATGTAACTTTATTTTGATTAATGAACATATCAATCACCAATCATTTATGAAATTTAAATTAATTTTCAATGCAAATATTTACAATTAGTTTAAACTAAAAATCATTTTTACGTAAACAAGGAACAAATAAAGTTTAAAAATGTTATGAATTTAATTATTACGATTATAAAATTAATCACTTTTGAAAGGCAAATTATTTTCATTCAATATAAGTAGATTCTTTTTATGGACGTATATTTGAATTAAAACAATAAAAATTCAAAAATCTATCGCTTTTTGTTTGCAGGAATATAATGTTTCTTTCACGATATATATGTAGGGTGATTTTGAAATAGTGAAGCAAACACGAAAAATCACATAAGTAATAATTATTCGTTTATTGTTATCAATACTACAGGTCAAATATGATTGAAACTGTTAATATAATTTTTATTTCATTTTTTTTAAATTATTAAAAACATAATAATTATTTATTATAATAACAAGTAACAAAAATATTATGAGTCAGATTATATGGCAAACTACTAAATCATTATTTTTTCTTTACCAAGAGTTTTTTTTCCGCAGTATTATTATAACCTAACTGGGATTCAGTATGTAAAAAGTGTGTTGTTCAGTAAAGATAACGGATCTAAGAACGGCCGGGTCTACATCCCGGTGCTACTTGTTGAGCTAGCCGACTAAGCGCCGTTCAGCACTCCCAAAAGATATAAAGTTTATAGCACAAAGATATATTAAAAATACAATTTAATTAAGTATATTTTGTATTTTTTAGAGATAAATAAATTTAAAGGAAGTAATATTTAATGAAGAAAGCTCTAGAACCAGCCAAGTCTACTTTGCAAAACTGATCTTCTTTGTAGACTATCAAGTGCCATTCACGTTTTCCACAATGTGTTACTACAGCTACAATATAAATTGACGTATGTTTCACTGTTACAAATGCAATGGTTTTAAAACTGACCCATATTAAGAATGTTTTAATATTGTTAATGAGTAGAAAAGAAAATCGTTTTGAAATTGATGTTTAAATTAAAATAATATTATAAAGATTATCTCAGAAGTCAAATATATGCCTTATAATATTTTATGATTAATTTTAAATCAGTTAATAATTAACATAACATTTCGACTATATTTAATTGCTTTAATTCATATGTAATTTTTATTTTAAATCAAAATATAGAATAACAATAAAATTGACTAAGCAAAAAAATTCATTTCGATTTATGTATTTATAATTAACAAAGTGTGAAAACATTCATTTCATTTTAAAAATTTCGGCTTTCTG